GAAAGAAAGAAAGAAAGAAAGAAAGAAAGAAAGAAAGAAAGAAAGAAAGAAAGAAAGAAAGAAAGAAAGAAAGAAAGAAAGAAAGAAAGAAAGAGACAGATCTGTTGTCACTCTGGACAAAACAAAACAGTAGCAATGTTTGTCTGCATGCTCAATCATCCAAGTAAGGAAATCCCCCAAAGTTGATTTTGTTCTGAGTGACGAAATGTTTCTCCCAATGAAAACACCATGTCCAGATGAACAGAATCAACTTTTTGGGAGTAGCAATGTTTGTAGTGTTACTGAAGTTTGGCTAGCTGGCAATGGCGTGCTACCTGGTGGCTACCTACAGAGCTATGGTTAGAGTAATATAAACTTAATAAATGTTAATGTGAGGGTCTCTTAACTAAACTTTAGTTAAGAGAACATTTCAGATAATCCATCTAACGGAAAAATTTCTGATTCTAGGCTTCAGGTCCCCACTGAAATCTTAGTCAGCCTGAGAGTGATTCTTTTCTGATGCGTTAAAATATTTGGTGTCTGGCAAGCCGTGAGCCCATGGGCTGTAGATACAGTAGATACAAACTGAGCTTAAAGGCGTGCTGCACATAACCAGTGCTAATAAAAAGCCAGACAAATTGACAACGACCATGGATTATTCTTAGGGGCTTGTTTATGTTAACTAAAAAAAAAAAGTATCCCAGTACATTAAAAAGACAAGAGTCTAAACAAACGCCACAGGAGGACAAGGAAGCAGGAGGGACATCATCATGTAACAAGCAGATAAGCTGTCATTCAGATGGCACCCTACAAAGCTGTAGTAACTAAAGGAAATTTCAGTAGTTCATAGCTCATAAAAAGAAAGGAAAGCAGTGTTATTAGGTTGCATCAATTTGCTCAATGCATTTCATGGAAACTAATGGATGCAGTTGAAACAGTAAAGAAAATCCAGTATATTTTTAGACATTTAAAATGATCTGTGTGGGACTATAGTACATGTAACATAATTATGGATGGATTTGGTTAACAGCTCCAACAAGCTGGAGCAATGATTGTGTATGTGACTGACAGAAAAAAAACTTTTATTTTGTAAGGTTTTGCTATTGCTTTTGGTTACACTTGTGCTTTTCTATGATCCAGTGTCTGGTATGAATAGTCACACGTTTTTTTCTGCCTTGTCCTTCATTGAATGTGTATGTGAAAATGAAAGAGTGTTATCTTACCATAAGAGATCGACAAGTCCTCCTTGCCTGGCTATGGCTGCTTTAACACGATTTGCGAACTGTACTGCATCCTCTCCCTCCTGTTGGGAGGACAAACATGAATACAGTTCTGGTAAGCAAGCGGTCATAAACAATGAACAGCTTTTCTCCTAAAATCTTATCATTTTGTCATACTGAAGGAGATCTGGGTGGCAGCATCTGTAGCAATGCCATGCAGCACATGCTCATGCAATATGCACTAATGCACCACATACCATGGAGGATGCTGGTTTTTGAGTTGTGTGCTGATGGTTGCTCTTTTTAGCTCTTTAAGACTATGTATATGATGAATGAATGAATAGATTTTGATTGGTCAGGTCACCGGACAGATTTATGTTTCATTTCAGTCGATCTTAAATAAGAGAGTTAGCAACATTTCTGAATCTTGTTTTAATTCTCAAGGACTTTGCTTCTCTGAGATGATCTTTGCATAATCAATAATGTTAATGACCTGTTGCCAGTTAAGATAATTAATGCTGAGATGTTTCACTAAGTGCTTTATTCCCCTCATGTGTTTTGTTGCCCTTGTCTAAAAAAGTATAAAGCCTTGAAAATGTATACCATCAAAACTTTGGTATTATTCTCATTGTAGGAATTTGTAAACAGGGCGACAAGACAATACAGAGGGTCTACAGCTGAAACGCATATTCTGTTATTGTGACTGCAGGTCCTGCTGGTCAAATTTTGAGGATGGCTGGTCAAAATAAAATGTAATAAATCAAGATTAAAAAAAATCCATTACAAGTATATGGATTTTAAACAACGTGCTCTCAATATATAAAAACAAAACAAAACAAAAAAAAGAAAAAACAAAGCTTCTCTTTGTTGAGATGCCTCGAGTTGAGTCTCACCTCTCTAGACATGGGAGGAAGGTACCACACGCTGCAGACGATGGCCCAGCTGCTCATCATACGCAAAAGGTAGTTGACCATCCCGAACTTGCTGCTATTCCAGAAAGCATCTCCAAAGCGGGGATCATACTACGAGGTTCAGGCACACACCAAAATGATTAATCAGTACATGTGTTACTGTGGACAAGACTGTAGTTAAAAACTAGAACAAAAACTGTTACCTTAATAGCCACAGGGTAGACTGTGGCACCAATTTCAAAACTGCCCTTCTTAAACATCATAACCGATGTGTTGTTAATGCAGGTACCTTGAAATAAGAATTCATAAAACACAAGGTTTATGTAAGATAAAATGAAACTTGCAGTTAGATAACTATATGATTTTCTATATGAGCTCACCTTCTGGGAAAATGAGGATAGGCAGTTTAGATTTATCTTCTACATGGTCGCTCAATCTGTAGTGAAAGAAGTATGCAGGTTAATGCAAAAGATTTCTAAAGAGATCACTTTTTAAAGACTATTAAACCAAAAATTTGAGTAGACTTATTCTAATTTGAAGTTCTACTTTGAATGATCCAAAAACAACCCATGGAATAATTTCTAAAAAGGTAAAACGTCATAAAAACGTACAAAAAAAATATCTTTAAACACAGACTGTAATTCTACCTTTTGGCCACAAGATGTCTGTCTTTTACTTCTGAGCGTTCAAACCAAATGTGTGGACAAGCTTTGACCATGGATCTCTGAATGACCCCCATCAAGCCGCCATGGATTTGTCCAACCTAACAACACAAACACAAAGATAGCAACAGATCTATTTCTGGGAGAGTTTCCACTCCAACAAATACCTGCAGTAGAAGAAGTGACCAACGTAAATGTTTTGTTCTTTTCTACATTTTGTGCCAGTATAGTTACCATAGCATAACAGCCATCGCTTGCCAGGATGATGACATCAATTGGTGAAGTGTGGTTAGCGACACAGATGCCTCCATTTTTGGGTTTATTCTCACTAGAAAAGGGGGAAACAACAATTAAATTATGATGGGACTTAATAAAGATTATGAAGTGTGGGGGGTAAGCAACTGTTAAAATCAAATGCAAACCCATGCTTAATAGAAATTTTGGTATGATTTGGTGCAGTGCCTCCCACCCGCTTCTCTGGTGAAAACAAAGCAACCCATGCTGTCCATGTTGAAATGTGCGACCCCATGAGTATGGAGGATCTGACAGCTAAGACTACATTCCACAGATAGAGTTTCCATCTTAAATAGGGAGAGAACATTGCTTACTGTATCACTTGAGTATTTTTAGAACCAGACTGGGGAGGAATACACGTTACAACAGGCTAGGCCCAACAGACTCAAAGCTACAGCTCTGGCTTACCTACAAGTGCACCTAATGTGCATCATTACAATCAACAAATGTCAAACAAGTACTGACTCGACTTCTACTCGTATCTCTCAACAGAATCTGAATTTATATTCTCATTTCAACAACAAACCACCATTGTTCTGCAGGTGAAAGCGTATCAGGTCACATTTCCTTTCAGAAACGTAACAAATATCACTAAAAATGTCAGCTGATTATTTCAAATTCCTTCAAGCCTCCAATACACTTGGCACTGCCAAGAAAACACCAGCTGCTAGAGAGTGCACAATGTGAGTAAAACTTCCTCTTCCACATCCGGTTGCATGTGCAACCCTTTTGATCAAAGTCCTCTGTCACGTTTTATGTTCCTCCAACATTCTTGCGAAAAAATATATATATTTAAATTATTTTTTGCATCACTTAATAAATCTCTCAAACCCAAATCTAATTGAATCAGTAATGGTTCATGAAACACATTCCTTGGCTCCAAGCATGTCATATGTAAAAACTTGGAAAGTTTGGTTGAGCTCACAATGGTTGTGTGAGCATCTGTTGCTGACTTCTGTACTTCATCTTGCATCAGAATAACTGCTGTGGTGAAAATTAATTCAGAAAGTCTTGAGTCTGGCTACAGACACCCTTCCTTTCATGCTCACACACTATATGCACAGATTTCCATTGTTAACACCATGGCTTCTGCTCTCTGAACATAAGTCATCTGTCATCATGTAATCTGACACCTTTCCCCTCAGGACAAGATGTCAACTGAGCCTTATGTTTCTGAAAGGCAAAATGATGGGACCATGTGAACAAGCGGTGCAGCCGCTGCATGGTTGGGATTATTGCATCCTTCTAGGTTTATGATAACTTCAAACCAAAGCTTAAATCTTGACATCCTCATTGCCCAAAGTAGGGCTGGGCCATATCATACCGTCCACGGTAATACCGGTATAATGTTGGGCAACGATAACAAAATGAAATATCGCAATAGAATATGGGTAAAACGCATGCACAGTGCCTTTGTTTTCATATGAAAATGGCGGAAAAAGCATGGCGGTGACAGAGAATGAGAAGGGCGAAAGTGGAATGAATGAAACGGATGAACCAGAATTAGTTTGTCAAAATGCTGCAACTTCAGTGGTGTGGAACTGGTTTAGCTTTCGTCCGTCAGATACACATCAAAGAACTATTTTTGGTAGCGCATGCTAGTGGGCCGTCGTTCTTACCAAGTTATATTTTGGAAAATACAGCACACTTAAAATCAATCCTTTGATTTTTCTGAAAATCGACAGTGCCCCTTATAATCCCGTGTGCCTTATATATGAATTCTGGTTGTGTTTACTGACCTCGAAACGATTTTATGTATTATACACGGCGTTCGAAAATCAGTCAAATGTTTTAGTACGACTTTGCTAAGCTACGAACCCGCACCGCTTGATGGATTGTCGGAGCATTACGGCTGTCGTACGCAGGAGCCTCGTGGAGTGATACGTACTGTGCTTCAACATAATATTACCGTATTGTGTGTGTATAACCTCTTTTTAAGTTTTGTAGATATTATACATGGTTATGCTGAGGATATGTCGGCCAGTTTCCACTGGAAATGCCTTTTGGTTAAACTGTCAGCAAGGAATTTGCATTTGCACTGTTACATTTTTATATAACTTTTAATGCACACTTTAAAAAAAACAAAAACAAAAAACAGCTGCTTGTTTAAGTGAAAAAACATTGATTTTTTTTTTGTTTTGCACTAATAAAGTTGTAAAGTGTTTTGTCTAGTGTCAATTATATCATCTTATATATAATTATCGCAAATTTTCAAATGTATATCGTGATAAATACTTTTGGTCATATCGTCCTGCTCTAGCCAAAAGTGTCAAAGGCTACGTTCACACTGCAGGTCTTAATGCTCAATTCCGATTTTTTGATCAAATCCGATTTTTCTGTCTGGTTGTTCACACTACAAATAAAATGTGACCGCAAAACCGCTCTAGGGTGAACGGTTCACGGCCCTCAGAGTGGCCCGCACGCGCAAAAGAAGACATCACACACAATGCACTCAGTTTATGGTAGTAAAAATGGCAGCTACAGAGCTAGCAGGTGTTGTTGCAGCAGTCTATTAATTTCTGCACAGTTGTAACTGACAGAATTTTGACAAATTAGAGGAAGAAGGACACTGAGAAAAAAGATAGCCTGTGCTTTAACAATGGCCTTGTTTGGAGCAGTGGCTGCTACCTCCGTGCAGAGGTATATATGGACACGGAGTCGTTTAGCTTGAATAGAATTGTCTCCCCATATGCTAATCAACTCCAAAACCTCAGTTTTTGTCCATTGACTCGCTCCGTCTCCAGTTTCCGCCGCCATGCTTTCTCGTTTGTCTTCTCTGGCACTGATAATTGGCTTCTGTCTTGTGTCAGTGACATAAAAGACTGATTTAATGCAACATGACCATTCAAACAGCAGTCACTTTCTAAAACATTAGATATGTATTGGATTCAGTACCACATACGAAAGTGACCCAGATCGGATTTGAAAATATCGGATTTGTGCCGTTCACACTGTCATACCATGATCGGATATGGGTCGCATAGGGTCAAAAAAGTCGGATTTGATGCGCTTTCGCCTGCAGTGTGAACGTAGCCTAAAGTAACCCCAAAACGCATTAAATCTACAGTGGCATTTTTGAAAGTGACTGCTGACATTATGCAATTTTTGGGGGTCTCTTTTTGTTAAACATAGTTTTCCCTTGACAATGAAAAAGTAAATCGCTCTGAGCGCTATCTAATTGTAATTTGATTTTTTTTTAGCGAAGTCAATAATCACCAGCAGCACTGTTACACTTTTCGGACAGACTTTTGCACTGTTATAACTCTGGCTTCATGCAATTTCTTATTGAGTGCGAACAGACACATCAATCAATATTTTTAATGAAAACTTATCAGGGTGTATGCCATTAAAGATTGGGAAATTAACCACAATGTTGAGAAAGCACAGAGAAACACTGGGGCAGTTGTGTGAAGCAATCAACCAGCAGATGCACCACCCATCATCCTGTCCTCTATGACGGACACTGATCCCAAAAAAAAAATGGAAAATTATGCAATTAAATGAGCAATGTCAAGTAAACACTTCCAGTGGTTGACCAATGGAATAAAACAGTCACATGACTTGGTGGTTATATGGGAAAACAGTGTAGGTCCTTACCTGTCATGGTAGGTTATAATGGCAGTCAAAGCTCTGACGCATATTCTGTAGCACATCAAATGGACTTTCTCACTCAGAAAATTCTTCATCCTGGAAAGAGTACACAGCAGGATTAACACATCTGCAGGGCTGATCTGATACTTTTGATAGAGTTAAAGTCGTAACCATCAGTTATACCTTCCATTTGGCAGCAGCCCAACAACAGAGGTGAGGAACACAAGCAGACCTACACCAGTGAAGGCAAGAGTGACCCTGATAGAGGGAGACAGGACAATTCAGAGAAGCATATATAAGGAAGCATTACAACAGAACACTGTAGTTGTTTTGGTTTAATTAATTAGTCTTTGTATGGACATTAACATGCAGATATATTACTTAAAAAGCTTTCTTCTGAACCACAAGCTTTCACTTAGAAGAGCTCATGTAAAAAGCAGCAGTGTAAGATTCTTGACATAAACTCAAAGTATCATGCCCTCCTCTACACTCCACTGTCTCAGACAAGACTGCAGAAGGACATATTAGGTGACAGTTAAGCTGGCCGACACGTCGACTTAATCTGGATGAACCAATCATCCAGGGCTGGAAAAGGTGCTGATTATATTGTGTGGGGATTAAGAAAAATATAAGAGAGCTGAAGGTTTCACAGTGTCATGAGCAAAGCCAATATTCAATTGGACAAAGGCTGAAAGAGAGAATCTATTAGGCTTGACAGGAGACTAGAAAGGAGGGTGTCTGTGCAGCGGTGGCCTGATTTGTCTCCCCACTGGCGACTGGAAATGAGCCAGCCACACTTAGCACTGAGTCACCATCTCTGTGCCTTTCTAAGATGAGGCTGGTAGAGGATCTCTGTATGTGGCGTCTTTAGTTATGTAACAGCAAGTTCGCATGTCAAGTAACCACACAAAACTGAGTAACCAGTTAGACTTGCATGTGGTTAAAACATAAATGTGAAACTTTAGTAACATTCTCTGGGACAGTTTGTTAAAACTGAAGAACTTAATATAAGAAAAAAGCGTTCTATCATTGCTCAGTTGGGCAGGACTGCTGCATCACACAGTCAAACCACACACCCAAGGGCTGGAATCTAGACGTCCTATAGATGCGAACACTTGATCTGCATGTGCGTTAATGCTGTGACGGCCTAAAGACCTATCGAGGGTGTACCCGACCTTTCTGAAATATCCCTACTGGAAGCATCGATTGTGAGGCTGGTTTGGCCTACAGGTGGTACATTTGCAACTTTTTATTGGACTATTTAGATAGAGTTACATGACAAAAGATACAAACATACATGCTAGGGAAGGAGATTATTAGTATGTTACATACGTAACATATTTCTCATGTCGTTGAGCGTTTGTGACGAGCTAAAATATGGAAAAGTATTCAAACTAAATTTTTATGCTAGCATTAGCATTTGTGACAAGGTTATACCAGTGCCTAGTTGTACAGGAGGGGCTAATGTATTGTGTGTATCCATGTTTTTGGTATTTCAAAAGCAGCAACTGTGCTTTTGCCTGTGACTCTTCAAAGTACAGCTAATACCTGAGAGGCAGCAGGAAACCATAGCGGATCAGCAGGCCCAGCCCCCATAGGACAGTCAGCCTCAGGCTGATATAGTGGAAGTTGTAGTTGCTCCGGGTCAGCAGATTCCAGGACTTCAGCTCCTCAGCAGTAAACCGCTTGGTCACTTCATCATCCATGATGCTTTCCACTCCTCGCCGGGCAAAATAGAAAATGTCAGATAACTCAAACTCAGTGGCTGAGTCCAGGTCTTTATTGCTGCCGCTCCGCCGGATCTCCTTGATCTCCTCCTCCAAGGAGGTTGGCTCCTTGGCAATGATAGCTGGAATAGTTCGGACAGACAGAAAGTCAAAAATATTCACCTCTAAAACAAATACATCTTTTGAACAAATATTTCCAAGAATGATCTTACCATTTGAATAGGGTTTGTACAGGAGGTGATTCTTTTCTTTTGCTCCTCTCTCTATCCTAAGTGTGGCCCACTAGAAAGAAACAAAGAAAGAAATGGATCTACAATTAGAAAGAGATGCAAAAATGTTTGAGAAATTAAAAAAAACAACCCAGTTCATTCTAGAGAGGTGCACAAATATTCTCCACACCCTGGCCTAAAGGCATCTAAAATGAAAACATGTGCGCACTGGTTATCAGCAGAGTTGTTATTTTAAAGACAGGTTTCAGCCTTGCATTCAATCATCATTGCAACATTACATTACATGAAAGAAAGGTCAAACATCTGGCAGCAGAAGGAATCTTATATGGACAAATGGTCACATTTTTAAGCAAGCCAATATCCGATACTCGTTTCTGCTCAAGAGGCAATATGAATGAACTTTCCCCACAAAAAGAAATATTACATCTATTGTTTTTCCTTTTTGCACAAATGATTAAAAATGGCAAAATTCCCCAGTGTTGTTCAAGTATATCGTGCTTATCTTCAGACACCCAATGTTTGCTTATTCAAAAAAAAAAAAAAAAAAAAGAGGATTTCCGTGTGTAGTACTTCTCCAATTTTTCTGACTTATCTGTGCTTGCAGAAACACTAAAATGCAGACTACTCCCTGTTTAACATGTATTATACTGCAATAAATGTCAAAAATATTTTCTATGACGCAAACATCTAGTCATTTACATATGCTGTGCTAGGTGAGATAAAAACTAAATGAAGTGCATCAAAGAACGCAGTGTTCTCCCAAGCTGGAAAACAACATGTTTGTTTGTGTGCGTGTGTTTGGGGGGGATATCAGGAAATGAGTAACCTGGTTGTGCTCGATCAGTTTCACCTGTGCCTACAGCCTGCAGAATTTTGGCAACTTTGAGGGTTTTCTGCATCAATCAAAAGAAAATCAACTGACACTGGAACAAAACCAAATGTTTGTAAGTACTCAAACACATTAAGGCATGAAAGTCTGCTAAAACTCAAATTAGTCAAAAGGACTGGTACAAACAAGAACGCTTGGTGGCTGGACATCTCACAAACTTTCAAACGTTTGGCTCTAAATCACAGAAAGCCTAAACACCTTTATTTAGGCTGGATAACCAAGATGCTTTATTACATTTCCTAAAAATAACTTTATTTTACAGCAACAATTAACATTAACTCTAGTAATGAAGGCTCTACACAAGCCATCATTAGTCAAATCTGATACAAGCAACACTAGTCAACCAAGGTTTTTCACTTTTTTATTTTGTTCTTTTACAGCTACCTTTAAACTGTGTCGTGACAAGTTGTCTTACCGAGTCATCATATGAAAATGCAGCTGCAGTTGTCAGTGGTGACTGCAGGAGTAAACAGAGAGCGGCTCCTTCCAGTAAAAAGATGAGGACCAAAATAAAGCAGCTGCTTTGCAGCATGTAGCCCCCAAGCTGCATGCGAGCGAAAAGGTCCTAACTGCTACATGCACATATCTCATGAAGTATTGCCATTTATACACTCATTGGTTAACAGTAAAGCAAATTCTTCAGACAAGTAACTGCAAAAACAAAGTATCATTTTAGGTTTTCTGTTAAAACTGTCTATACACAAACATGGCAGGTTTCATGTTTTTATTTCCATCAAACCTAATGAACCAAATCCATGGGCTACATCTTCATTCTCTGCCTTGCACGCTCTCGGTCGTATCTGTTCTGTTCTGGAAATCTCACTGCTGCTCCTTGAATCATGAGCTAAGAACATCTGATTATCTTTCAGTGGTTCATTTATTTCTGGCACAAGTTCTTCTCTCAGAGGTACATGATGGAAAGTAATGACTGCTTTACTAGTGACACAACTGGGCAGAGCAGCTGATGCACTGTGCCATTATTAGGAGTTCAAATGCATTTCTTTAAAGTAACGACAGCAATTCAGTAAGCAGAGACAACACTTACTGACAAGCACTGTTTTCTAAACTTGAATAACAAGGGAAGTGGCTGTGGTGTTGATCTCTGTCAGTCAGACAATGCCTACTGGTCAGTCGTTAAAGGCACAAATAAAACTGGAGACGTGCCAGTGAACAATCGCTGTTTTCTACAACTTATTTCCTTTTTACAACTAAGATAAAATTTTAATGACACATTTGAGGAACAATGCTAGCAACTTTTATGTCCTTGCCATTGTGCTTGGCAGCAGAAGCAATCGTTTTAACGGTCAACTGTACAAAAGCACAAACACACCTTTATCCGCAACATTTATGATTGCCACAGCACATCAGACTGCAATAAACTTTGAGTCACGAGGAAGCAAGCTCTTACCTCAAAGACCTTTAAGAGTGTTTTCATGTAAAGACGCCGGATACCAAAGGACACCCCAAAGATGGCAGGCACAATAATGAAGACCAGCAGCAGGGTGAACCACACGGTGAAGGAGATGCCCAGCAGGATACACACCAAGTTATCAAAAGGATTGAAGAAGAGTTCCATCTTTGAAGTTGGATGAGTTCAGTTCAAAAACAGTGTAAAATCCCAGGATTGAGCAGATGTGAGATGAGGTGCAGGTCTTCACCTCCCGGCCCCAAGTGGCCTTTACCTTTTTGTCAGAAAAAGGTCTTCATCAAGATAACTAGGGGATGGAGCTTCTCCTTGCACTGAAATGCGAATCATTACAAAAACAGGAGACCACCTTGTTGTTGCCCTCTTGGGCAGTGTTAAGTATTTCAGTAGATTCACCTCGAACTGGATTCTGAAACTGAGCTGAGAAGAGTTCCGGGAAAAGGAGGGGAGGGGGGTTACGATTAAGGCAGGTGTGCTAACAAACTGCCTGTCCCTTGTTGCAGATGTTTTCTGCGGTTTGAGAAATGCCTCCCGCTGGCGGAAACAATGTAAACACTGGGACAAAAACAGCTGGGTACAGCAGGTGGTTTTTCTTGTGTGGTGAAGATCCGGGAGCTCGGCAGGAGTCACAAAGGCCTGGAAAGATGTAAACACATGGTCAGGACCAGCTGTGTCTCAGTACTAAAACCTCTTTGGTCGGATTGCTGTCTGTGTAATTTAATAACGCAAGACAGACAACGTGTCCTTGTGTCAGCGCCTGCTCAGTATATATTACATATACCGGTGTACAAACTTAATGCTAACGTGAACATAAATAAACACCACTGGTCTTTATAAGGTTAGCGCCCACCTATTTTCTGCTAAGGAGCAGATAACTTTAAATGTTACGGTTATGGGCTGGGGTGCAACGATAACGTTAGCTTAAGGGCCCTTCTCGTACCAGCTGCTGATGCTGCAGTCGGGCGGCTAACGACAGGCTCCGTCCTCAATTTAAAAAAACAAAACACTTTGGATTAGCGCGGCTCATGCATTATTTAACGGCTATTGACGCTTTCTAGGACAATTTGGCCGCCTCTCAACCCCGAGGAGGCTATTAAAGCGATATAAGCAAGAACTCGGTTGCGAAACTCAAAGACTCCTGAACGCACACTGATGACAAGAAGCCAAGGATAAAGTTAGCTTGTCGCCTCTGAGCTAACAGTGAGGCTCAAATTTGCCTCCTTGTGCGAATTGCCTCGTTTTGCTAACATTAGCCTGCTTGCGCTCAGCTCAGTCCTCCACGATGCTGTCCGGTAGTTCACGCTCCGCTAAGACAGCCTTTCAGTTACCAGCTTGAATTCGGTACGAGGACTTGGTGTGTTTCCAGTAATTATCCTAACAACAAAACTACACGAGGCTTAAAAGGTTTCACAGTTAACCAACCTTCAGTCACGTTAAGTCCGGCTCCGGTACAGCAGCGCTCCGTCCCCCATCACTTTGTCTTTGTCTTGTGGACTGCAGCCAAACTCCACCCGCCGGACAGCACAAGCGTACAGCTGGCGGCTCGAGGATCACTGAAACGACCAACTCCTGCCGAAACCCCCCCACCCCACCGAGCGGTGCTGACCTCTGGTGGTACATGTACGCTATTACAGTTGAATACTTTATTGGGATTTTATTTTTTCTAACCACTAGTGGCGCTATAGAGCAACTTTGCCACACGCGCTTGTGGTCAGAGGTTTACATCCACTAACCATGGGCAGGAATATCATGATAATTTGGGGCTTTAAAGATTTCTTTAAACCGTTCTTTTTCTCAGGATGGAAGGAGTTATTTTGGATTTTTTTTCCAGTCCAAGCAGGCTCAAATGTATGCATTCACTTTCTTAAATCTTTTAATACATGGTGTTCAAGGTTCTACAATGTCTTTTAACTTGACAAGTTCACGACCTATTAACTTTAACTGCTAGTTTCTTTTGCTAGCATATGGATGTTTGACAACACTCATTGGACCACCACTCAGAACAACGAGAAAACAAAGGAACTCAGTGAAGACCAAAAAAGGAGAATTGTAGATTTACACAAGTTGTCAAGACCTCCCTGAGCCATTTCTAAACACTGCAAATTCTAAGATCATCAGTTTAACCAGCTGTCCTTAAATAAAGGTTATTCAGATGTCTTACTACTTTTTAAGGTCTAAAAAGAGGTCAAACTATCACCCTTAGATGAGAGTAAATTGTTAGAACAACCCAGGAATCACCAAAGCTCAAGCCTGCCATGAACGGGAAACTGCTGGATGCCAACCAAGAACAAGACAATGACCCAAAACACATCAAACCTGGTTTTGGATTAGATAAAGCAGGCTAACATTAAGTTTCTTGAATGGCCTTCCCAAAGCCCCAAGCTCAGTCCTGTTGAGAATTTCTGCACTATATTTAAAACTGTCATACTGTATTTAAATTTTTTTGACCACAACTAAACAAAATAGGAAATATTAGTACAAACCTGCCATTTGTACTGCATCAGAATGATAGAATTAATACACCTTTTCTAATATTACTCTTCACGTAATAGCAAATTCCCCCAAAACAAAAAATAAAGCCTTTGTTGTTTATGTTTTAAATATATATATATTTTTATCTACAAAAATAAAGTAATTATTTTTGTAATTTCCACAAACCAACTTTTAAACAATTGAAAATACTTTGATAACAAAAACAGACCCTTTTTATTCACACATTTACATCCATGTAAAGTCTTTTCAAGTAATTTCAGATACAGAGAAGGAAAAATGGTACTGATACTTGGCACGTCATTCAAGCTTACAACCATGAATTAATAAACTCTATGAATGAGAGAAAATAAAACTTTTGTTTCCTAATTATAGATAGTGTTTTATAACCACTCTGTAAACACAAAATCTCAGCCAGCTACCTCTCTACTTGTAAGCCTTACGGGTGCAGCAGCCTTGTAGTATCTAGCCTTTTGTCAACTTCTCCGCAAGTGTCCATCGGACTTCAGGAGGATCAGTCGCCTGCTCCTCTGATGAGCATCAAGAACTGCTCTCCAGCAGAGCTTCAAAGTCCGGTGAGCAAACCATTTTGTGTTTGACGTTCCCTAATACAGTCAAGTTACCCGTTTTCCCCTCTGTATTGATAGAGACAAGTTCCTGTGAATAGAAGGGATGGAAGGAAAAGCGCGTCAGAAATGTTTTTAATCGTGCAAATACAACAGATCGGAGGAGGATGTTGGAAGATGGAAATAAATACCTTACTCAGAAAAAGACATAAAAAATCCTCAAAGAAATAAATTTGTGTTGTACCTGCAGGAAAGAGCAGGATGTTCCTAGAGACACATCGAGCGTCACCTGCCCCAGTATGAGCTGCACTCGGCCAGACTTGCGTACCAGCATCTTTCCCACAACACCCTCCCGCAGATCCTTCAGATTGCAGCTGTTGTCCTCAGCTTTCTCCTCCTGTTTGGTATAAAAACACCACCTACTCAGAAGAACACGACAACATCGTGGACTTAAACTTGGACCCCAGCTGTATGCTTACCTCTGATTCTGTTTTCAGGAGCACAGACTGCCCATCCTCTGACTGCACCTCTGTTTTCACCGGCTTGTGCTCTTTTGTGGGAGGCTGGCCGGGCAGCGAGTCTGGTAGCTGAATGAAGAAAAGCTCCTCCGCTTTGCTCAGACTCCATCTGTGCAGCAGGTCAGGGAGTACTTCGGGCTCGGGGAGAGGAGGAGGCCTGCAAGTTGCCTCGGGCTTCTTTATTTCAATTTCCTCTGGCTCTTGTTTCACTGAAGACAAAGTTACGATTAATTTCATATTGCTGCAAAGGAAATTAAACAAGTTCTGAGTCAAACGCAGGTACAAACATTTACCTTCAGCTGCAGGCTCCATTGGTTCACAATCCTCCTCTTTCTTCTCATTTTTAATAGAAGCGTCACTAAATTCATCCTTGAATCCCCATCCTGACACAGCGAGGGGGAGCTGGACAGGGCAGCTCCTCTTCTCACTCCGCAGGAAGGGATCATCCACAAACTAAAAGAACACAATAAGCATTGGGAAAAAGATATAATCCTTTACTTGTCTAAGCAAAAACTCCAAGGAACATCTGCAGGTTGTTCAAAAACCTGCAGCGAGGATTCTGACTAAATCTTCTAAATACATTTAAACCGTTGTTGATCCAGCTGCACCGGCTCCCCGCTGAACTCAGAGCCCATTTCAAGATTGTCGTTCTGACTAGAGCTCATCATGGACTAGAATCAGGTTACATCAGTGAATGTTTTACAGCTATATGACCCCAGCAAGGCCCTTAGGTCTTATTCTAAAGGTGCTATATAAATGAAATTGTACGTATTTAGTTACGCAAACAAAGACGAGTGAAAACCAAGAGACTCACGTTGTCACGTTCCAGCTTGCGCAGGATCTCTTTGGTCTCCTCCTCGGTCTCTCGCTTTTCCTTTTTGATATTAATGATGGGCGAGGGTCCCATGCTTGGAGCGTCTCTCTCGCTTTCATAGCCGCCTGTGTGTGTGGGTGACACAGAATTATGCTGGTGCGATAGAGACTCTGTAAGACACACACGTAAACGATGCGTGAGGAGCACCGGGTCTCCCACCTCTCTTTTTCATCATCATGTCTCCGGGCCCCTGTTCAAAAATGGAGTGCGACTGGATGAGCTCTTGATGGCCTCGGCCCCTGCCTCTCATTCTGGGACCCCGACCTCGATCCGTTTCCTTCCTCTCTCTCCTCTGCCCATCTTCAACTTTTGTTCTAGTGTGAGAAAATAACAGTCAAAGAAACAGCTGGCTTTGGATGTCTGCACTTTATTTATTTAGCGCTTCGGGAACTTACTCTTCTTTAACTTTTCGGCCAATAATGTTGGGTGTAAACGTTTTCTAAAGAGTAAAAAGAAGAACGATAAATGCAAGAGATGAGACAACAAATGTATTCATTTAAAGTATCCATTTGCGCTTTTTTTTTGTTCTGCTGTTGTTGTTAAATGAAGCGAGTGAGTTAGTGAAACAGAGGCATGTCAGACCTTCTTCACTCCTCCTAATGTGAGGTCTCTGGATCGCATCGTGGGGAGGCGGCCAGGAGAGATGCCAGCTGACGGGCGACGGCTCATCAGGAGTCCTTTGTTACCGCTCCCTCCAGGAGTCGGCACACGACCACCAGGGTCGCCTGAACCTGCGTCCGACATCCTGAATTGGGGCAAAAGCAGGGGATCGACCATGGGATGGATATTACAAATATTAACATTGTTTCTTATAACATTCTCATATTTATATATAACATACATTTCAACAGTCAGCATGCCGATTGCCAATGGTTACAGTCCTGTATCAGATTACCAATCACACTATGTAGACATGGCCAAATTGGCCTTGCAAGGCTACTTACTGCTACTGCCTATTGATTACTCTTAACTGTTTAGCTATATTTACTTTATGTATGAACATTTTTACATTGGCACTTATGCCTTTTAGCACATTTTAAACTCTACTTCCACAAAGACTGGAACTGGTAAGTAGAATAGGTCTTGAAAATGAGACATATATATATATATATATATATATTTTTTTTTTTTTTTTCTTTCTCCACTGAATGATTGATTTATTTTGAACATGACTAAAATAACAACAAAATACACTTTAAACAATAATGAGACAAAGAAAGGGTTGGTACAAACAGAAAGGTAAACTCATTTGATCCTACCTCAATATACAATATACATGTATAATTACATACAATTATATAAGTCTACAAACAGATATCACGCATAAAAATCCTAATAATGATGAAGCTAAATGTTGGGCTGCCTGTCTGTAGAACAAATGAAATGTTTAACATTAAAAACTGTTTAACATTATCTCTCAATGAAAATGTAATTTTCTCCAACTGTAAATGATACATTGTGTCTCTTAACAAGGCAGAGTGAGTTGGGGGAGCTTTATTTTTCCAATTTAGAAGTATAAGGCGTCTTGCAAGCTATGTTGTAAAACTCACTTAAACTAGCTACTGATTTATTTATTTATTTTTGTTTTTAAATGGTACAGCTTGTCCCATTGGTCCAATGCAGCATGAAAGCTGAAATAGAATTTTCTTTTTTTTTAAAAAATTAAAATCTTAATGTTAAAAAGGATTAAATGTTTATATTATATAGTATTATATGTTTAAATGTGACTTCAGATTTTAAAGGGTGAATATAGATATAAACCCTGCTCTATAAGACCGCAGAACATACTGTTGACATAATTGATTCATGTAGTATGTACTTATTAATTTCGTTGTAATATACATTATCTTTTTGTTCTGAACACAGACAACAATGTAAATCTGAGCTTCTACTTTTTGTGTTTTTACTAAAGTAGCGCTTATAACACTGTGACATAAATTACTGACACGTTATTGTATCACTATAAAC